ACAGGGTCAAGCAAATTCCTGCTTTTATGAATTGGCTTTTACTGTCAAGTGCCTGAAGTGGTGCTAAGCCCTGCTCTCCTTTCTCATCATTTTAGAAGCCTATTGTCTTTAGTTTTGTCTTCTGTAGAATTCTGCATGTTTCTCTTAGCAAAGAAGCTGTAAAGATGGAGAATTTGGAAGTTCTGCGTCTTTTCTTAAGCTGGTATGATGGTTTAGGACATTTTTTTTTCCCACATGTAAGCTCATCAGGGAATTAAACAGAACTATCCCTATTCCTTGAAGTCAAAGGATGCTGTTTTGTTATTTCTGTGCAGTAGAGTAGGCTAACCTACAAAATTAAATCACAATAGTCTTAGGACTCTTAGTAGTGAATAAGAAAGAAGTGTAATTGTAATCCTTTTCACTACTTCTCTTTTTATAAGTAGTCTTCTTCTCTTTTTATAAGCAGTCTTCTTCAAGCTGTATTTTATTAGTGCTTGCTGCAGATAGCTTCACGGTGTTTTTGTGACAGTTTTTTTTTCTTCCTTAGGCAGGTTAATATTTCAGGAATACGGGAACCTATTGCTATTCTCTTAACCTTCTAAAAGTCTCCCTACAACTTTGAAGCCAACTCTAAAATTGTTTTGTTTAGAAACTCAGACACTCAGTTTTGATTCTTGTTTCAATTCAGTTGAAAAAATCTGTATCTTAAAAGAATAATTAAGTAAATATTAAGTGTTTTAAGGCAGGTTAAGGAGTATGACAGTGTATCACTTCTGTCAATAAGCCTTGAACTCTGGAGCCAAGTGCCCAGCTCCAATGGGAGCAGCATGCCAAATACAAAGCCAGTGGAAAGTTTCACTTTGTCAGTAATGTATATTTAATGGTTTTTACTGTAGAACTTACTTACAAATAAATTCTACCTTACCTTTTTGTGAAAAATCACTGGTTTCCTAGGAAGACGTTTCCTGGTGACTCTGTGGCAGATGTGCATAATAACCAGTATTGTGCAGCTTTCCAAGTTCAGTTTTTCAAAACATTAATAAATTACATACTTGACTCGTTCATTTTATTAGTGCTTAGTATCTGTAAGGTAAAACATATGCAGATATGCTTCCCAAGAATGCCAAGGCAGTGGAAGGGTTAAAAAAATGTTTATTTCGGATGCATGGACCACTTCTTAACTATGGCATCGGGTGCCAGGGCAAAAGGCAATGCCCCGCCTTCTCCAAGGTCTTTTGTATCTTCTCTCTCTCCTCCCCCACTTTCTCTGGCCCACGACAGCCTTGTACCTGTCTGCAAACATGTTATCTCTCTGCGTACCAAGGAAATAGCTTGCTCACAGCTTCTCCCTGTGACTTTCTCTGAAATGCAGAAGGAAGAAAAAAACCACCTCATTTGAGAAGGCATTTTGCAGTCTTCCTGAGTGAAGCAAGTTCTAGCTTTCTGTTACAAATTCTTGCACAGTTGCACCTATCCCTACAGTATCTAATAATGGAAGGGAGAGAGGAAGGAGATTCTTTGGACAGAGACAGTGAAGTTGTACTTACTGCTTTGAAAACTATTGTGGAAACAGCTCACAGACTGATGGATAGGTCCCTTGTTTTTAAAAATCTCATCTGAAAGTCTCTGTGGGAGAAATTTAATGATATGGTCTTATTCTTTGCTAAGAAATACCAGATACTAAGTTTTGAAATATCATGGAAATACAGACAAAATTAATCAAGTATAGCAATATTTGAGAGCATAATTCAAGGTTCATAACTTCTGATTCATTATAATCTTGAAGATGTCTCTTCATAAAGATGTATCTGAATCATCAGCAAATTCATCATTTCATGCCAATTTTTCATAGATACACAAGTGTTGGCATTTACAGATTTTTATTTTTTTTTGCTAAGTCCACATTGCTGGTGTTATTTCCTAATTCTGAATATTTGTGCAGAGGCAATGCATAATGCCTCTTGCATGTTCTCTTATGAACTCCCATTGTTCTGAGTGGTAAGGTAATAACTTCAGTAAGAAAATAGAGGTGTGAGCTACTTACCTAGTAGGATGACAGTTGCTTATCATGGTTATTTTCTTCCTAGATGTATCTACCAAGACATTTCAGACCTAACTCAAAAATTATTCTGATATTTAAGACTTAATAAATAAACTTGAAGTAATTTATTATTTGTGCTAAGAAATTATCCTTTTTATAACCTTAGCTACTGAACCCATTATTTAGCATTGTTCCATGAATAAGTGCTGGTGTGCTGCACTAAAATATGTTATGTTTAAATGCAGGAAAAGACATATCTTCAGGAAAGCACCTGTTATACATTATTAAGGCCAATCTGTAGTATTCTGCTAAGGTTATGGGGAAAAAAAAGGCATCTGCTGAGTAGGAGTCCATTTCTAATTTCAGTTGTCACTTTCTTCACCCCTTGAATAGTATTCCTGCCATGAAGCTTAGATATATACTGTTGTTTCTTCATCCCCTTATGCCCTCCTAACTTATTGATTCAGGCATTTGGATATTGCACTCTAGAAGTACATGACTGCTTTCCAAAGGCTTAAAATCATCTCTTTTGGTGGCAACCATTTATTTGTTTTGAAAAGTACAACTGAAAGACTAGTAGTTATTTGACTAAACTCCGTCTGAAAAGTTCTGCATTTTTAATGTCTAGGCTGAGTGCATGGCTAAAAGTACAAAAATTTAAACTGCATACCTTGTTTAAATTTAAAGGAAAAAAGTCACCTAGAGAACACCTAGAGGACATCAACTTCGCAATTAGCCTTTTTAACCAACATGCAGTAGGATTAGACTAAAGAAGTAATTTATTTGGATTTAATAGCTAACTTGCCATATGGAGTAATGGTAAGCTAGTTTTTTCCACTTCTTCTGCGTGGTCTCCTCTGACTGAGTGCAAACAGTTATTTTGTGTGTGTGTGTATATTTAGGGGTGGAGGAGATATCCCTAGGAATAACTTATTTATTAGTTATATCTTCAGATTACTAGGAGGAAGGAGAATAGGCATATCAGTACAGCATGCATGTCTGGTAAGAAACACTCCTGCAATTACAGAGTAACTAGAAACAATAACAAAGATCAAATGTGTCACTGTGAAAGTCAGCAATAAGATGTAGTCTCCAGGAAAGAAAGTATTGTTAAGGGATTCTGTGAGATGAAGATGATCAGCTTGGTTTTGTGTGGTGTTTTGGGTTCTTTGGCTTAGGCTTTTATGGAGATGAAAACTTACTAGTTTTAAAATCATATTTACTGGGATTTGAAAATGCTGAAGAAAAAACTTTCCAGAATAGTGTGAGAGTTACATGTATGTATGGTAGGTGCATTTGTTCTAGTTCAAGAAGCATCAGTGTTGGCAAAGTGTTTGTTTTTTGTAGGTGTTGTTTTTTGTAGTTGGTTTTCTTAATTTGCCAACTGAAAGAGCTACATATTAATTGGCTGCATTTGTTGTAATTGTTCCTACTGATAAGAAAAAGAATTTTTTCTAAATTATATTGCTGCAGTGGATTTTCTTTTTCTGAGAAAATGTTTGAATATATACCTAGACCTTTCCATCACTAGGTAATGAGCACTGTTTTCTCCAGAATTTTTGCAAAGCACCTGTCCTTTTTCCAGTGTGCATATATGTTCTACCTACAAGCTGCTTATTAAAAAGTTTCAGAAATTGTTATTTCTGAAAATGACTTGTCATTAAATTGTCACCATGTTTTAGAAAGAAAAGTCTGAATTAGAAATTTAAATCTTATTTTTTTTGGAAAGCATCTAAGAACTAGATAGTTTAGCTACATAACAGTTAATATTTTCCAAATAAAACTGTAGGAGCTATGAGTTTTTATTATATCTTTGGAACATTTCATCAGTGTGGTACCTGTACAATAAATTGGTAAATATTGATTTCTAAGTGACATTTAAAAAGAGGAAATGCAAACTAAACTGCAAATATATGTAAATCAAAATTATAACCTACAGCAATGTTTATGCATAGTTATTCTTTCTGACAAGGAGCAAAGATATCTCTACTTTTTTTAAACCTAGAAGTTGCAGGTCTAAACTTTTTTCCTTTTTTTTTTTTGGTAATATTATTTTGGTTGTTTATTGTAAAGCTGATATGTTCCTGCTTGTAGGGATACCTTTATCAGGGTATGACTTAGTTTTTTGGGTGAGAAATCATTCAGTTACTTTGTCCCCAATAGGTGAAAATGCCAGGCTTTGTTAATAACAGAGGAATGTGTCCCTTTTTTTTCCCTTTTTCAATAAAACTTGAAAGATGAGGTCCTATAAGTTGCAGTAACCTAAACTTTAGTCATAAAATATTTTTGGATATTAGGAGAAAACAAATTGCAATTAAGATGCTGAATGCACAGTGCTTTCCTTTGAAAAATAAAGGGAATGTAAACAACCTTTCTTTGAATCTGTGTTTTCAGGATTGTGTTTTATCTCTATATTTAATACCAGTAATCATTTTGGATATCAAGATGTGAAGTTGGAGTTGTATTTGTGGATGTTGTTGTTTTTCATATTGTAAGCACGTATCATCCAGGATAATACTGAATTGTTTTCTCAAGTTTTATCTCCTGCTATAATAGCCTGTTTTTAAAATCTTTGCTATGGACAAAAAAAGGATCACTTCAGATTTTCGTTTACTTCATATTATGTTTTGGAATTCTTTCTGATAAGAGGGTGGGTTTTTTTCTGGAAATGATTTTGTAGAAGATACATCCTCTGTCATTTTGCATGAAAAAGTTTCCAGCAAAGGAAAAGAATTCCAGCCAGTTAAATACTTCACTCATTGTGCTTAAAGTTTTTGTCAGTGTTCCAATTTATTCTATATTGTAAGCAATATAAATGTTTTAAATTAACTAGTTATTGTCACGTGAAAGTACTGCTTGATTGTACTGTTGAATTTTTATGGCAGAAACCATGATGGTTGAATGGCCCAAATGGATGACACTGTATGCCAACTCAGATTTTTGTTATGCTTATACAATTGTTTTCTTGCCTCTCCAGCTGTAAGCACAAGGTGTACTTGGAAACACTACCAAATACTAGCATAATTATCCCATTTCATAATGAAGGCTGGACTTCACTCTTGAGAACAATACACAGTATTATCAACCGCACCCCAGACAGCCTGATAGCAGAAATCATTCTTGTGGATGACTTCAGTGACAGAGGTAAGGCCCAACTGGTTTTGTTTTAACTTGAAATTTATAATGCTGTGTGATCTATACAGAAACTAAAGGGAAGCAAAAGGAGAGGAGACCAGACCTAGTGGAATGCTTGCCTTGAAGTACTGTTTCATTGTTAGTGGGAATAAATATTTATAAGTGGCTTTTGTTTTACTTGGCATGAATACTGAATTCCATGTCAAAGGGAAGAGTCTGTGAGCTGTTCATTAGCTCTCATTAATATAGTATTTTGAATATATTATTTCTGAAATACTGCAAATTTTAATGTTTCCACATCTTTTCCTTATGCTTCCCTTTTATTTGAAAATGTATTATGTTTGACCATTTGGGATGCAACCAAATGATTAGATTTTGTTCCTGGAATTTTTTTGAGCTAGGCAGCTTCAAAAATACTAATACAAAATAACCATACAGAGAAATGTGACTCTTTTTGAATGGAATGTGAAAAAAGTGCTTTAGAATAGTTGATCCAAGTTTGTCATTTACATGTACTGAAATTAAGAAAACTGCAATCACTTAATGGCTTCTGCCATTATCGTTTCTCAGATGCAACACAAAAAGTGAATGCCTCCAGTTTCTTAAATGAATTTTAACAATTCCTTAGGTAAAATTCATCTGTGAAAGGATATGGAACTGGGAAATAGTTTTTCTTTCGAATTCCAGGACCTCTCATGGAAGTTTAAGCATGAAGACCTTTGACTTTTCTTTGGTGTTTGAGGGGTGGGTTTTCTGTTTCTGTTGAAACATCAATTGCTGGTGTATATGTGAGCTTTGTTCTGAGTTGATTGATAGACAGCAAAAGAGAGAATTGTACCCTTTATAATATTTTACCTAAAACCTTTGTCTCAGCTAGGGCCTTAGAGGAGCAAATTTCTGACCTACTGTTGTGAGAAGCCCCTGGATGAGTGAGGGGAATAATAGTAGAGCACTGCAGCAGTAGAATCATTTTTGTAAGATTTTTAACTTGATATTTCAGGGTTTAGAAAGATTAATGCTACACACATCTATGTTGCCCTCTCATATCTGCTGATTTACTTGCAATGTCCTTTGATGAACTGCCTCTCAGTCTGTAATGCAATTTAAGAGAAATTGTAAAGTGAGTACAGTTCTGAGTATTCTATGTTGATGAAATCTAGACCTTGGATGAAAGTTTCCAAAACAAGAACTGCAAAACAGCATGACCATTTTTCTGCAGGCTAACAATTTCCTAGTAGTAAACAACTTACGGGGAGGTCTGTAAGTTGGTTTTATGAGGTACCTGACAAGTAAAAAATACTTTTTTTTATTGAGATGGTAGCTGTTGAGGCTGTGCTTTCTCAATATGGTAATACTGTAGCATTTTTTTGATGAAGATTATAATGACTGTCATTGATGCCCTTTTAAATATGTTAATGTTTTGTAAAGCTTATCTACTTCCTGGTTATTAGAAAAAGAACTAATGAGCGTGTTTGGTGTACTGTATGTTTTAAGAAGAGAAAGCATACAAGAAAAATGTGCTGGAGTCTCTACTCGGAATTTAGTAATATTGAATTTCAGGTCAGGTGAATCATTTGGTTTAATTCTTGTATTTGTGATCCTCTAAACTATACTTAACTGAGATTATATTGTGTTTTCTTGTGTTCTTTTTTCTTTTTCATGAGGTGACCACTGTAATAGAGTTGGATTATTTTATGTTGAAAAAATGCTGACTGATATCTATCCGTGTCTCCTCCCAGTTCATAGCATAATCTTTTTTAAAAGTAGCAGATGTCTAGTTTACTGCTGTTATTCATTCACCCTTTCACTGCATTTTCCTGGACTGATGAGAGAAGTAAAGCAGCGTAAAATATTTTTTGGCCTGATCTGGCTTTGGTCTAAGTGTGGTCAGATCTTGTCAAAACTCGTAGAATCATTGCAAGCAAAGTTTGCTGCAGTGTTGAGGCAGTACAGTAATTAGTGATAAATCTATGTCACTTTTTCTTATTGTATATTTTTTTCATGAAGCTTCATATGTGAAATAGCTGACAAATGGCTATTACTTTGTTTTGTGAAATCAATTATATACTATTTAAGGGATATTGTGTATGTTATTCTTATTTCCTAACTTGATATTATAAGGAGAGTTTTCTGTTAGGAACCTGAACATCACTTGTAGGTAGTCAAAAGTGAAAATGGGATATTTCAATAGCACCAGTATTTTAAAAGTAGTGATTAAATAACCTTTTTCTCTAAAGTGTTCTACTAATCAAACTCTTCCTTTTTTGTGAACATCGAGGAAGTTATGAAAAGTCAGTTTCTATTAGAAATAGAGTAAATAAGAAAAATTAGGAACTTGAAAGCTGGGTAAAAGATGGAGGTGTTTTTTTTAACTAATACAAATATAAATAGAGAAATGCACTTAAGGAACTTTTGATAACGTATGATGAAAATGTTTTAGTGAACAGCTAGGTACTGAGCAGTTTGCTGGTTTGTCTGCAGAATTACTTGGCATGCTCTTATATTATTCATATTCACTCCTTTGGCTTTTATGATCAAGCCCAAAAACTTTAGATAATTCATGCATAATATTCACCATAAATTATGACATTTAGATGTTATAGAAGTAAAAGGACAGCTGCACCTTTTTAAATATCAATATAATGCAGACTAGAGGCTTGGTATTAAGAGGGAGGTAAGCAAATGTTATAAAATTTGGAAGTGCAATATTTGGTCAGATTTAATGGACAGATTTAATATAAAAGACTACATGAATACAGAAAGTCATCTGTGATAGTCAGAAGGAAATGTAGATTTTAAATATATGTACACAAAGTTGCAAAATTTCTTTGTTCATATAAAAGTGATGAAACAATGGGATGGAAAAATATGACCATGAGGCAAATAATTAGACTTAAACTTAGTTTACCTTATCCCTATGGATAGGGGAGCTAGCTATGACATGTACTGTTGGACACTTAAAATTTAAGAATGTTTTTACTCTTCCCCACTGATACAGCAATCAGGTCTTCACTAGAGACTTCCACTGAATAACTTAGGTCCAAGTACTGTGGCTTTTTAACAAATTGAATTTGTTAAATTTAATTTAACAACTGAATGATGAACATGCTTTTGCATACTAAAGCGTGCAAAATATTTCTACTTTGTGATGGATTTGGGGTTGCAATCCCAATACCTCATTCATGTAAACTTTGTATTCTAAACTCTGTAAGTTAAAGACTTACCAGTTTCAGAAAGTGTCACCTACCACAAAAATGAACCCTTATATTGAAGGTACTTTGTGTCAGGTATCTGCAGTGGCTTTTTGTGCAGGTCTGGTTTTGTGATCCTGGTTCCTGGAAAAGTGAGCCTTGTGAAAAGTGGGGTTTTTTTCTGGGAGAGTTTGACCCTGAGATTAGCTCATGGGGTTAGAGCATGGTGCTAATAACACCAAGGTTGTGGGTTTGATCTCTGTTGGGCCATTCACTTAAGAGTTGGACTTGATGACTCTTGTGGGTCCCTTCCAACTCAGAATATTCTGTGATTCTGTGTGACGGGTGTTTGAAATGGGAGGAGGGTGGGAGGGGATTGATTTGCAGGTTTGACTTTGGGGATGAGGTGTTTCTTGTTGAAATAGTCTGTCAACAGATATCTCTGAAAAGGTGGCAAGAAGCAGATGTGGGCAACAGTTTTAAAGGAAAGAGCAAAATGAAAAAGACAGCATATTTTTATTGGTTCTGTTATGGAATATCTTGCATTTACAAAGGAGTACTAAAAATTCTAATTAATGTTCTAAAACTTTGGGGGAACATAGATTTGCATAATTAATTAGTTAAACAGTTCATGTGGGTTGCCAACGTGTGATAGATTTGTGCATCAACCTTTATTTCTTTTGTGTTTTAATTACTTTATTAGCATAGTCAGACCTGTGAACTGTTACTAACACAGCATGTGCCCGTGAATGTAAAATTAACTTACCAAGCATTTTTACTTTACTCTGTAGTTCTTGAATGGGTGTAGCACCTATTATAAGAAAAAATAAACAAAGCCACAGCCAACAAGTAAACTTACGAGCAGTAACAATTCTAGGGTTGTATTTTAGTTTGGAAAAAGATTATCAGATTTGCCACCAAAAAAAATTGAGAACTTAGTAGTCAGCAGCTTCTTGCAGGACAGGACTAGTTTCTGTCACTGGCATTGAACTGGTTCAAGGCAACAGTGGTGGCAAATGGAGGGGTTGAGGACCATGCTTACTCTTGACCTTGATGGTGCCTGACTGTGTATGACTTCTCAGAAAGGTGAGAAACAATTTATTACAAATACAGACAAATAATTCTATCCAAGGGATTTCATGGCAATATTTTGTGACAGATCACTGGGTTTTTATTTGATGGCGAGGGGTTTGTTTCAGTGGTTTTGTTGCTGTTCTCCGTGTTGTGTTGATCTGGAACATTGTGTGTTGTTTGTGATTAGAATACCCCTCTGTAGCAGACAGGGAAAAAAACCCCAAAAAACAGCAGTGGGAGGAGAAAGGCAGAAGCAGGAGCATACATCCTTCTGCAGGTATTAATATGCTAACAGTGAGTGTTCCCGGTGACATTACAAGTAAACAATTGTGCTGAGTAAGGTTAATAAGCTTGGGGGAAGTGCTGTGTTTCTGAGATTTGCTTCTGGGACTGATGCTAGCTTGACTGTCACTCTGGCATTGTGTTGGACAGCATAAATATCTATTGTAAGAGAGCTGTGCTGATGGAACTTTCTGCTATCCACCTAAGATGTCCCATGGCTGGAAGTTTATACAATAGGAAAAACTTTAGAAATCAGCGGCTGCCAGTCCCATAGTTAAAAGTTTATCCAATAGTAAAAACTTCTGAAATCACATACTGTACTGTAGGATAGACTGTAGCAATTGATAGCAGTTAAAAAGGAATGGAATAATGGTGCACAGAAATCTGTTTCCTTGACTTAACTGAGTACTAAACTGAAATAATTCAATTGAACAATCAAGCCTTATTCTGTTTTTGCTATAT